TCTTTGTGTTCCTAAAACAAGCAGATGTCATTGGGCTACAGTAGCACATGACAGAGATGAATGGAGATGTTTCTAGCACCCGCTCGAGCAAATTGATTGGCTAACAGAATGTCAAGTGAACAAGTGATCAAGTCACATACCTTGTATTTTTACTCATAATTACTATTATAAACTGAAGGCTGTAATTTGAAAATATAATTTCTAGTTATTTCACTGTCTCCTACTAGAGCTTTTATTAAGCCTTTGGATACTAAGTGAAACACTCATTGATCTGTTGTTACTATTAACACTGCTTATGACTTAATACTATTTACTTACAACCATTCCATAGGACTCTCTCTTAATGACAGTATAAAATGAATTTTTTAAATTTTTTTAATGTAGGATTACTGCTATTTATTCAGCCACTGATTAGCTGAATGAATTGTGCATGAACTCTTCAAAATGAATTTTTTAACTAAGATTTGTGAACAGTTCTTTAGGCCCTCAATCTTTATCTTCTATAATACATTTGCTTATTAAATATTATTGATTGAAGAATGTCTGCATATAAATATCAATTGCATTTTTCTTGATATAAACTATAGTTTATATAGGCTTATTCTAAAATGTTCAATACATTCTAGTTTTCCATAAAAATTAGTATTTACTCCTTTGATATACATTACTGATAATGACATTTCCTTTTACACATTTATATATTTATAGTAGCCATTAAAACACATTGTACAGACAAATACATTAAAATGCAATGTACTGACTGCATTAAATCAAGAAATTTCTGTGCACAAAAGAAATAGTGCACAGAAATAAAAGACTAGAATAAAAAGATACCTCACATACTGTGAGACCATATTTTCCCACCATACATCTGACAATGAAATGATATCCAAAATATAGTGAGCACTTTTAAAACTTAACAACAAAACATCTCTTATTATCAGAGAAACAAAAATATAAAAATCGAGATTATTTCATATTCGTCAGATTGACACACATAAAACAGAACAAAAATAGTCAGTGCTGGTACAGATGTGAGGAAAAGGGAGCCTTCATTCATTATTGGAGGGTATATCAACCTTTTTAGGAAATAAAAAGGATCCTTCACAACAAACTAGAATTGAGTTTCCATACAACAGCAATTTCACTCTGAGGATGGAGCACAATGGGCAGCGTGCCTGTCTTGTGCACAGCAGACCCTGGGCTTAATCCCCAGCACCCTGTTTGGATCTCCAAGCCCAGCTAGGAGTGATCTTGAATGAGAGCCAGGTGTGCTTAATTTTTTCCTATTTTGCCAAGCAGAGCAATATAGCTTGGTAGTGTTTATCTTCAATCTGATTCCTCTAACTTGCTGTAATCAGCCTGCAAAAGTTTTTAAAGTTGGTTCTTGGGAGACTTTATGTACAATTCCATGAGACTTTAGGGCCAGCAATGACTTTTTCTATGAGCAGTAGGATACTTTAAATTTTAATGGATTTTTAAAAGAGGCAGAGTTAATATTTATTGCTAGGCATTTGCCATCCTCATTGGAGTAATTTCATTGGCTTTACAGAGTACAGGTGAAAAAGAGGTTTATTCATGTGCCTTGGTTAAATCATTTGAGAACTCTGCAATCAAACCTATTGTGGCAAAATTCACCATCAACTTTAGTCCTGATAATTTATACCATGACTAAAAAAAGCACTCTGTTTAGGAAAGAGAAAGAGAGAGGGGAGAGGGAAGAGGAAAAGAGGTAGAGGAGAAAAGGAGAGAGAGTATGAGAGAGAGAGAGGAAGAGAGAGAATAAATGAATTATTTAGAGTAGCAAGAAATTAAGAAGGCATGTAAAATAATTGTGTCTTGGAAATAATTATGCTTATACTATGTTTATGACAGAATTCTCTTGCAAATATTTATAATCAGCAAGACACAGCCGGGTGAAAAAACATTATCCAACTAATTGAAATATAATGTTAGTAAATGACACCTCTAGGGATAAATTAAGTAGTTCACTAAATATTATAAAATATAATTTCTCTGTGGTCCTTGGAGCATCAAAGTGCATGGGCCCAGTTCTGATAATTTTTTTCTCACAAACATGATTGAGTATTCTGTTCAATTAGATTGAAATGTAAGAAACTCAGAACTGATTCTTTGAAACATAGGCGCTATCTTTGTAGTGTTCGGCCATGAATTGTTTTATTGATGTTCCATTCTGAGAAATAAAACAGGAAGTATTTTGTCATTGCATAGCCATCATAGAGTTTGTCTCCAAAAATATAGAGTATAGGTTTCCACATACTTAGGATCATTATTTACCAAAATATAGTCACGTGCTCTTCACCCCTTATTAGCTGAACTTCAGGAATACTATGAAATTTATGTCTGGCATACGATGTCTTCAAATCCACTATATCAAAGAATAGCTCTTAACTTTCAATATCTGATCAACATGGAATTAGAGCCAAACTCTGAATATACTTCAAGTATCAGTCCCACATGACTTCCCCATCTCCATTTCCAGCGTCAGTGACTGCAAAGGCTCACAAGGACTCATTTCAAGTACATGTAGCTCTTTATTAAAATATTATAAGAGATACATATGATCAGCTAGATGAAGAATTATATATAAGGTAAGGTCTAAAAATGTTCAGCAAACAGGAACCTTTTCTTGTCTTTGGGATGAGATACCCTTCCATAAGTGGGCTATGGCCACCAACATGGAAACCTTCTGCTTCCTTTCTTTGAGAATTTTGTAACATTTGCTTGTTTGCTTTATACAAGGAGGATTGATTAAATCCATGAGTATTTGCGATTACCAATCCCTCACCACTTTCTACTCCATGGAGATTGTGGGAAGGAGTTCAAAATCCAAGTCCTTTAATCTACTGGCTCCTTCCTTTAGCTAGAAGTCCGTTTCTCCAAGAGTTCCATCTTTAACACAAACTCAATTAGGTTGAAAGGTACTTGTTATGAATAACAAAAGATGCTTCTCTCACCTCAGTCAAGGAGGAAATTAGAAAAGGTTTTTGGGATCCTGCTGCAGAAACAGGAGCTAGAATATTCCCAAGTAAACCAGTCTTCAAAAAGCTGTTTAGGACAATAAAAATGTTAAGACAGAAGAGTGAAAGAAAAACAAAAACAAAAACAAGTCTTATTTACTCACCTGATTGTGAAGTTAATTCTCTAAATGATCATTAAACTGCCAATTTTAGATTATAAAATTCCCTAATCATCTTTATTTTCTGATGAGATGGGTTCTCTTAGTGCTCTGATGGGGTAAGGTTCGGGTATTGACACCTTCAATTCGGAATTGGGTCTTAATTATTTTATTTTGGATTTCTCCAAGTATTTTATTTTTATTGCTTCTTGGCCTTTTGGCTTAGAACAAGCCAGTATTTTATTTATTACCCATGATGTTTTTATAAGCAACTTTTCTATAATTTTTAAAATCTATAACATCTATCATATCATTCCAATTATTATTGGATTGGAACAATAGCACAACAGGTAGGGCATTTGCCTTGCATGTGGCTGACCCGGGTTCGATTCCTCTGTCCCTCTTGGAGAGTCCGGCAAGCTACTGAGAGTATCTCGCCCGCACAGCAAAGCCTGGCAAGCTCCCCGTGACGTATTCGATATGCCAAACACAGTAACAACAAGTCTCAAGATGGAGACGTTACTGGGCCCGCTCGAGCAAATCGATGAACAATGTGAGGACAGTGACAGTGATTATTATTATTATTACTATGGGGCTGGAGCAATAGCACAGTGGTAGGGTGTTTGCCTTGCACGCACCCAATATGGCCCACCCGAGTTCGATTCCTCCGTCCCTTTTGGAGACCCCAGCAAGCTACCGAAAGTATCTTGCCCGCACAGCAGAGCCTGGCAAGCTCCCCATGACGTATTTGATATGCCAAATACAGTAACAAGTGTCACAATGGAGACGTTACTGGGCCCGCTCAAGCAAATCGATGAACAATGGGAGGACCGTGACCATGACCGTGATTATTATTATGCACGCTGACAAAATCAGGGACACTGCCTTGTTTGCCAAGGTGTCCAAAATCAGATGTGCTGGACATATAATGCAATTTGGAGATGAACGCTGGACTAGAGGCGTTACTGACTGGATTTCACAAGATGTCAAAAAAATGCCTGACCACCCACCTATGAGATGGTCGGACTTCTTCATCAAGACCCTGAATGAACAGTTTGATGGTCTTCATATTCCTGGAGTGAGCAGATGCCATTGGGCTACACTACCACAAGAGAGGGACGAATGGATGAATTACTGGCACCCACTCCAGCAAATAGATAAGCAACAGGGTGATATGATACAAGTGATTATTATTACTGGTTAGGGCCTTGGCAAGGTCCAGGGCCTACTCCTACTCCCACTCCCACTCATAGTGACTATGAAACCAAGAGGTACAAGGGACTGAAGCTATATGCAACCAGGTTCCCCATACCCTTAAGCCCAGAACTATATTTTTTAATAAAATCTATTCCCTTGCTCATTTCTATCTCATTTCCATCATTTCAGAGAATAATTTAAGAAAATACAAAAATGAGCTCAACTTACAAATACAAATTTAATTTACTCTAAGATTGCTCTTCTCAGTAAATTTAATAATACATCTCAATGTTTGGTGAAAATTATACTCGAGTTAAATAGTTATATTTCATACAGCTCTGTGTTGCATTTTGTTGTTGTTGATATTTTTTTTTGAGTGGGGGCACACCTGACTGTGCTCAAAGTTTACACCTAGTTCTGCACTCAGGGATCACTTCTAGCAGAGCTAAGGGAGCATAGAGACATAAAATCCTGGTGTTCAATTGCATGCAAGGCAAGAGTCTTGCCTTCTTGGACTCTCATCAGCCCAAAATAGATCTATATTTTTAATGGAGTTTTTATACAGCAATTTAACAAAGGAATTGCAGGATATTTTAAACATAGATTTTATTTGCTTTATAGTTTCTTGGTTGAAAAATTAAATTTAGATAGAAATCAGGATAAAGCTCTTCTGGTACTTACCAGAAGCCGAATTCTTTATACTGACCCTATAGAAAGGGGAGCCACAATCAATCCACCTCATATTCACCTCAGTCAGGCACTCTGCCTGATCTATATTATGAATGGGGGGACATGGAAAAGCAACAAAGTGAAACTAAAACCAAAACAAGATAAATATATAAAGTTCAAATTCAACTAAGCATTCTATTCTATTTCATGCACTCATCTGATGTAATTATTAAATTATCTTCAGAATTATAAAATTCAAAGTACCTGTCTTAGAGTAAAATAACTGCTATCTACATAAATAAATAGTAGTGATAAGAATGGAAAAAAAACCAAAGAAATCAAATTAAGATTTTTGCTTTCATTTCTTCCCATCTTTCATTATGTAAGAAGAGATACATTTTGTGAGTACAAGATAAACAGATATAGATTTGAAGTGTTTGTTGTTATATTTATCTTTTTGGCTAATTGTATTCATTTTTGTGTTGTGTTAATCTATTCACATTTTATAGAATACAATCCTATCAAGGGAAACTATTACTATTGTAATTTGTTAAATTCACACAAAATATATTTGCAAAGTCCAATGTTAAATAAAAATAAAATTTCTCAAGAGAGTCAAATTTTCATAAATCTCAAGACTATAATATAGTAAATATTTCTTTGATATTTCATATTACAAATGTTTACACAATTATGTACAATCATAGTCTGAATTTTACTCTTAATTTGTGGATAGAGACAACTATAGAGAAATATCACATAACAGATAGTTAATGATAACCCAATATCTTTCCAGCAATACTCGAATGAGACTAGATGGCAAAAGATGTTTGATATATTTCAAAATCAGTACTATCTTTCACATGATTTGGTGGTTTTTCAATGAGTAAATAGATGAGAGAGTAAGTAGGTGAGAGAGGAGCATGATTAAAAATGATACCTGAGTCTTTAATGAGGTAAACTAGGTAAAATGTGATTTCTTTCTGATCTTATAATTAACGGAATAATTATGGAAAGAAAATGAGTTTATTCTTATAATTGGATATCAGGTGTTTATGGGACAGCCAAACAGAAATATCTAGAAGTATAAAAAATATAAACTTGAGCAAGGATGAAAAATCAAGGTTTGACTTTATTAACATTCACATATGGCAGTTGAGAACACAGAAATAGATAATGTGAGCAGAATAAGACAAAATACTGGAGAACATCACCATGAAAGAGCATTTCATTATGGGTCTTTATAGAACTGACACAGAAGAGACAGGCAAAGAAATAGAGGTGACAGTTACAAAAGTAAAAATAATATCAAGAAAAAGAGGAAGTAGAAAAAAAACGAATCAAGGGGATTTGAAATTTCAGAAAAGATAGTTAACAACAACAATCATCTTTACTAATGGACAGAGCATGAAGGATGTCATTAATGACCACATAACAGAGATATTAGTAAAATAACTAGCATGGAGGGAATTGCAGCATATATGGGATTAGAGTTAGAAGCCATGCTTTCAGTTATACTTTTATATATGTTTGTATAGTATATATATATATAGTTTTATATATTATATATGTATAAAAGTAAGTAAAGGCCCTCCCGTTGATCATCGATTTGCTCGAGCGGGCCCAGTAACGTCTCCATTGGAGACTTTGTTGTTACTGTGTCTGGCATATCGAATACTCTCGGTAGCTTGCCGGGCTCTCCGAGAGGGGTGGAGGAATCGAACTCGGGTCGGCCATGTTGGCTGCGTGCAAGGCAGATACCCTACCCGCTGTGCTATCACTCTATGCTATAAATATATAATTATAAAATATTCATACAATATGCATTTATCATACATATTTATTAAGTGTTCATTAAATAAATATATATGACAGAAATATATATTTTAACTTGTTAAAAATGTAAATGGCAAAGGGGCATGTGATACTGAGGTTTGTTTATATTACTTTATTTTTTGATTGTGGCCACAACCAGCTGTGCTCAGGGCTTACTCCTGACTCAGTTCAGGAATCAACCCTGGAAGAGCTGAGGGGACTATATGGGGTGCCAGAAATTTAATCAGTTGGCTGTGTACAAGGCAAATGCCTATCTGGCTGTATTATCTTTCTGGCCTTAATACTGAGGTCTTATACAAAGATTTATCTTAATGCCTAATTATGAGAGATACCCAGAGAAGGTAAATTCAACAAAGAGGCAGAGAGAAGGGTAAACATATTAGAAAGAGCAATGGATTAAATAGATAGCAATGGATTAAATGTCACTGGAAACTAGGTAATCTCCCTGCCTGCCAGCCATCCCACCTCTCCCCAATATTTTTAAAAAATTTTTATTAGTGAAACACCATGAGATACAGTTGTAGACTTACAGACTTTTTTTATGTAGGAGTACTGCTATCTATTCAGCCACTGATTAGCTGATTGAATTGTGCATGAACTCCGCCTTACTTTTTTCTTTCATTTTTTGATAATTTTATTTATTGAATCACCATGAGAGCAGTTACAAAGCTTTCGGGTCTAAGTCTCGGTCATATAATGAAATACTCGTACCTTCACCAATGCCCATTCTCTACCACCAAAAACCCCAGTATACCCCCACCTCACATCCTCCCCCTACCTGTGGGGCAGATGATTTCCACATTACTACTCTCTCTACTTTGATCACATTCAATATTTTGACACCAGGCCCACCATTATTATTTGAGATTTTACCCCAACACTCAGATCTGCTGAAAAGGCAACAGTAGACAATTTGTGTTCTATTGCTGGTTATGAATAACATATGATGTTGTGTGGCTGCAGTAGGGCCATGTGATTTTGAAATTTCAAAATTTTAACACTTAAATCTGGAGGGATTTCTGCCAAAAGCCACTGGGTTTCTAGATTTGCTCTTGAGTCTCTGGAACCATGGCCTTTGAGCAGCTTAATTAGGACCCAAAGAAGCCGTTCGTGGGTGATGACTTGGGGTCTCTTTGGGACGGGGAGACCACGACCAGCTCCACCCCCATCTTGTGAGGCCCAACAAGTTTCATCACTGCGAGACCTGACTGTCCAGTGGCTTCTGGAGGATGACGGCCACCGAGCCGCCAAGTGGGAGCAGGTGGAGGGCCAACACCCTTATCCCTCTAGGGTGGCCTGGTGACAGTAACGTACTGTGAGGTCTGGATGCATTTCTGCCAAAAGACACTGGGTTTAGAGATTTGTTTCTGAGTCTCTGGGATCAAGGCCGTTAAGCAGCTTGGGCAGGGGCTAGAGGGGCCATTCATGGGCGATGACTTAGGGTCTCATTGGGGTGGGGAGGACAGGCCTGGCCCCCGCCCCCATCCTATGAGGCCCAACAAGTTTCATCATTGCAGGTCCAAGCCTGGCTGTCCAATGGCCTCTGGAGGATAACGGCCACCAAGCCACCTAGTTGGAGCAGGCGGAGTGACAACACCTTTTCCTCCCTGGGGTGTCCAGGCGACAGTAACGTACTGTGGGGTCTGGATGCATTTCTGCCAAAAGACACTGGGTTTTGAGATTTGTTTCTGAGTCTCTGGAATCATGGCCTTTAAGCAGCTTGACCAGGAGCCAGAGAGGCTGTTTGTGGGCGATGACTTGTGGTCTCGTTGGGGTGGGGAGGACAGGACTGGCTCCACCCATCCCGTGTGTCTCGTCACTGGGCAGGACCGGCTCCACCCATCCCTGTGTGTCTCGTCACTGGGGGCCCAAATCTGACTGTCCAGTGGCCTCTGAAGGATGGTGGCCACTGGGCCACCAGGAGGAACAGGCCAAGGCATGAAACCTATTCCCACCGGGGTTGGCTCAGCACCAGTAACCTACTGCTAGGACCGCATGCATTTCTGCCAAAAGCTGCTGGGTTTTGAGATTTGTTTCTGAGTCTCTGGGATCATGGCCACTAAGCAGTTCAATCAGGAACCAGAGAGGCCATGCCTCCAATTATATAGCTGAGCCGGAGGTGGTTTGTGGGTGTGTTTCTCACATACCTAACTTTTGGCCGTTTACTTTCTTGGTAAACTTTGCCCCAAGTTTTTGGGGTCTGGCCAAGGCACAGCAGCAATTTTGGGGTATCTGGAAGTCTGACGGCACCATCAGACTGCTGATGTACTTACCTCACAGGTACAGATTGACCTGCTGGTGGCACCATACCCCCGATTTACAAACTTTTGTGCTTGGGTTATACAATGATCCAGTACCCATCCCTCCACCAGTGCCCATTCTCCATCATTTACATTTTTTAAAATTTTTTTAAAGACATTTTTTACTTGAGGAAATACTGGAAGACTGAATAGGGAGAAAGCAAAAAACCTGCAAAAATTTTAGAGTGAATAAACTTGTTGATAGTACTTATTGAGGAGAAATTATCAACAAGGCAGAGGAGTGAGAAAGAGAAGGGAGGGAGGCAAAGAAAGAGGGAAATAGAGGTGAAACAGTGACTTGCTAATTTTTGTTGTTGCTTTTGGTTTTGGGGTCACATCTGACTGTGCTCAGAAATTACTCCTGGTGGTGCTCTAAAAGTAAAGTAAAGGCCCTCCCGTTGATCGTCGATTTGCTCGAGCGGGCCCAATAACATCTCCATTGGAGACTTTGTTGTTACTGTGTCTGGCATATTGAATACTCTCGGTAGCTTGCCGGGCTCTCCGAGAGGCGCGGAGGAATCGAACTCGGGTCGGCCATGTTGGCCACGTGTAAGGCGAACGCCCTACCCACTGTGCTATCGCGGAGAGCCCTAGAGACCATATATGGTGTAAGAGGTTGGACCGGGGTGATTTGTGTGCAAGGCAAGTTCTCTCCCTGCTATACTATTTATCTGGCCCCGATTTGCTATTTTTTAGGACATTCTTCTTTATTCTTACTTATTCCTAGATAGCTCAGCAGAGTACAACTAAACCAAGCTTGAAAATTGTGCTACAGTACCTCAAAATTATATATCACATGAAGATGAGCAGTATATTTCTCACAAGTAGTTCAGTGTTTTTTCACTTTTTTCCTATATTGCATAATTTCTCTTGGCTGAGAGGTTCTAGTTTTTGATAGTTATTTCATCTTCAAACCTTTACACGCATAATTGAATGAACATATTTAAAGTTAAGGAAAACACTTAAAATCAGAAAGCCTCTTGGGCCGCAA